TTAAATCAAAAAAATCAAATTAATTAGAACATCTCACAGGTTAAAAAAAAGTTAACTAATCATTACGACTTTTCAATAACATTAACTTTTAAAAAATTTAAAATTTAAAAATTATTAAAAAAATAAATCTCAAATGAGGAGCAAAGGGTGGACAAAGATTGAGCTGGGTCAGCACTATATAGTAAGAGTATGTGTATTATTTCCAAATTCGGTGCGGCCCAGCCCAACCTGACATTGAGCCTAACTAGGAATGGGAAAATATCTCGATTCGCCGAGTTCGCAACTCTCCCCGACATTAATGGATAGGCTCGGGGGTGGTTGAATAGGGTAGGATCGGATTTCAAAAAACTTTTGAAAAACCCAATTGGCTTTTTGGTCGAGAGTATTTTTTTAACCCAACCCTACCAACCCGCAAATACAGTAATATATGTATAACTTATTGTTAAAGTTTTATAGAATATATTATATATATAATATTATACATGTAATTATGAATTCTATTATGTTATATATATATATATATAATTTTAATATGTACAATAAATAATATTTTTTAATTGAAAATGGCATTTTTTAATTCTAATATTATTGTTAAATTTCTGAATTATTTGTGCATCGGTAGGGTCAGAGTGGGGGTTATATTTGTGGGTTTGAGTGGGGTGGTGGAGAGTTTCATGAGGGTTAGGTGGTCAGGGTCACGGGTGGGAGCAGAGTACCGTGGGGGTGAGGGATGCGGGTAAAAGGCACAACGAAATGGGGGTAGGATGGGTAGCACTACAAGAATTAACACTTTTGCCGACCAAAAAATTGGTCGCTAAAGCCCATTTTTGGCGGCAAAAGTTACCGCGACCAAATTTTTTGGTCGCTACTTTGGTCGCCAATTGAGGGTCGGCAAAAGTAATTCGCGACCAAAATTTTGGTTGGTCGGGAAAAGTCGGATTTGCCGACTAAATTTTTTGGTCGCGATATATATCATTACCGCGACTAATTCATTTAGTCGCTAAAACACTTTGGTCGCGAAAAGTAATATTATCCGACCAAAAAGTTTGGTCGCCAATTATCACATTAACGACCAAAAATTTTGGTCGCCAATCGTGACATTCCGCGACCAAAAATTTTGGTCGCCAATTTCACATTCCGACCAAATAGATTAGTTGAAAGTCGAGAAATCGCCGACTACCAATTTAGTCGCAAAGATAAGAATTGTCGACCAATGATTTTAGTCGCAAAAGTGTAGAATTTGCCGACCAATTTTTTAGTCATCAAATCTCTTTTTTTTTTTGTCACAATCCTTTTTTGTTTATAACCAATCAATCTAATATCGAACAAAATTCAATCAACCCAACCACAATTACGGAACAATAACATTTTTTTTAAAAAAAAAACTAAGAAATCCAAACAAGATGTCCAGTAAAGCTAAGTATGCTCATTGAAGTAACTTCAGACCTCAAAAGATCTACAACATGAATGACTCATCATTGTAATACATAGAATTAGACTGAATTTTGGTAGGAACAAAATTTCTTAGTAGTAAAATTGATTGAAAGAGAGATTCATACATGCCAAAGTTTTAATTAAGCAGCAAGAAAACTGAACCAAAATCCAAAAATAACAGAATAACTATATGAAGAAAGCTGCTGCGTAAGACCATTCTTCGCTTTTGCTTCCGGCATGCAATAACCACAAAATCCACAACATCTTATTTCTTCTTCCCAGCCTTTGCAGCATCTCCAGCCTTGGTCTGCACATTGTGTAACAATGAGAGAGAGAGAGAGAGAGAGAGAGATTGACCAGTGTACGTGTACCCCAAGGCCAAGATAAGCAATTTCCTTACCTTCTTTACACCACGGATCTTCTTGGTCCTGTTCTTCCTTTCCTTCAATTGCTTCCTTGACTTCTCCACCTTTGTGTCCAGGCCGTTCTGCAAAGGAGAAATAGACAAGAAATAAATACACTAAAGAAAATGAAAAACTTCTAGAGATAAATTCCATATGCTCACTTTCTTACTCATATCATGATAACAAAAGAATACATAGGAAACCTCAATATGACTTGATACTGCCATGTACTCACAAAAACAAACATATTCACTTGAGTGATTTACATAAAATCCATTCTTTATAGTTCATACTCAGAGCTTAACACAAGCATGCATACAGGATTCAGTATTTTGCATAAATACTTTCTAGATCCCAATTATTCCTTAAATACAAATGTGTACCAAACTGATCAGGACCATTTGAACACTCAAACATCAAGGTTGAATTTCCAGACCAATAAAAATCATCTAACCAATATACAGGAATTCCCAAGCACAAGTAGTCAAGATCTCAATATCTTCAGAAATAATTTAGAAAATAATGGACATAATGTATTGAGTTCTCTTAAAAAAGTTTATAAAGCCATTAGAGATGAATATGGCTATTTGACCCATTTTAGCATTGCAGGTGGATCAAATAGTACACAGAACAATTGAAGTTTGCTTCTAAACATCACAATTTTGAACTCAAGATACATTTAAACATTTTAGAATTCAGGTGGATCAAAAATGTGCCATCATTAATCCTCTATGCAAATAAAGCTTATCATCTTATTCTCCTGTTGTGATTGAATTCTTCACTGAATTCAAACACAATCAATGTTTTAATGAGAATTACTGTACTGCACTGCACTGCACTGCACTGCACTGGGTCAAATAAGAGGAGTAGAAAAAAATTCAACAGCATGATTGATACTAAAAGAGATACTGAATAAATGAATCTAAAACAAAACCCATACATACCGAAGCAACAGAAATTGCAAACAAAAGTAGAGAGAATGTTCATTTCAGTGCAACTTAGGTGATGCAGACGCCCATTTAAATAGATAGCAATTGGTAGTAAGTAGCTTGTAGATTGCAAGAAAATTAAAAATTCTGACCAAGACATCATCAAAAATGAAAATAAGTAGCTTGTAGATTGCAAGGAATTATAATAATATTCATCATATCTTTAATTTTCTATAGATGCTCCAGTGTAAAATTCCCATGCCCTTATTCAAACATTTGCCATAAGATAAAAAATGAAAAAGATCACTCCCAATGGTAAGACAGTTTTTCCAGTCACTTATTAATCAAACCATAGGACACTTAAATGTGAAATAATCATTGCACTTTTCTCATTGCAAGTTGTCACAACTCATATAATATGTTGATTTATTATTATTATTATTCATCTCTTTTTTTTTTCTTTTTTTCTTTTTAATAAATTCAATTTTGATTGTTTTTGTTTAATAAGTTGTGACTTTACTGGTAAAAAAACACAAAAACATTACAACACCAGATGAAGGTGGAGTTTCACAAAACTTTTGAAAAATGAGTAAAGGAGTTCCTCAAGCAATCAAAAACTTGAATGAAGATAGAGAATGCCTGTAACTGGGATATTATAAGAGACGCATTAAGAATCAGGCTAACTAACCTGAATGCAAAATGCAAGGCTCAATATATTGTTAGCCAGTCAATGCTTCTATGAAGCATACCATGCACAGAAAAAGGAAGCATACCAGCCAGATATACTAATGATCTGAAAAACATTGCACATGTTACCTTGTAAAGTTCTTCATCAAATTGTGCTAACTGAGCACACTTTGCCATGATATCTTTCCTCATAAAGAATGGAGTTTGCAATGCAGTGTACCCCCTTTTCTCCACAAAATCAAGACCAAAATTAATTAGAGCTTGATTAAGGCGTACACCATCTCCTTTCAGATAGAAACCTCTACCTCCAGCTACATTACCACCTAGATGTTTCAAGACCATTTGCATTAGCATCGTAATGAACCTAATAACACATAATTATAAAAGAATTGCATTTGAGAGAATCTAATAAGCATGGATACAACCACAGAACAGACGCGACAAGGATACGACCAAAAAAAAAAACATTTTATATACGACCAACTAGATGTTTCATCCATGGCTAGCACTTATTGTCTAAAAGTCAAGAAAATAAAATAGAATAGAGATAGGAACCATTTGCTCAATGAGTTCCATCGGATGTGTCTAAGAAAAAACAGTGAGAAACTAAAATCAGTATAATTGAACAAATAAACCACAGATTATATGTGTCCCTGCAATGAAAACCACATAAAAATTAAGTGGAAAGCAACAGTACAGATCACAGATTGGGATGTGTCTAAGAAAAAACAGTGAGAAACTAAAATCAGTATAATTGAACAAATAAACCACAGATTATATGTGTCCCTGCAATGAAATGAATAGTCATAATTGTCATGGTGATTTTTTCCCCCACACCAATATAACAACAGTTCAGATAACTAAAGTTTATCTTTCAAAGAAAGCTTTCTATGACAAATCTTATGGGGGTTGTTGATTTTCAGTCATAATTGTAGCATTGGAAATCAGAAATAACCCACAGAAATACTTGAAAATATCAACCTCCCCTGAGGCTCGGGTGAGCATTGCTTATTCCATGCAATAGTTTTCTTCTCCTATTTTAAGAAAGTGAAAGAATGATAAACTATGCTCTTAACTAGGACCAAATGGAATTTTCAAACCCATGCACCAGTTTCAACAGAATAATTTAAATGATGTAGATAACAGCAACTCCAAGAGGTAAGTGAGATTTCATAATCTCGTAGACAAACTATACTCTTAACTAGGACCAAATGGTGAAAAGAAATTCTGCCCATGGTGAAAAGATACTACATTTCCATCAGAGGTAATTCTTGTATTTTAGAATTGTTAATATATCAGAATGTTTTACGTGTGGATTGATTATTTTCCCATGACATAACTAATAAATTCTCTATCAGTATACCACATAATTTTGTTCCTCTATTAATGTGTGTTCATGTAAGTCTTAAAAGGGAAATTGCCTGAACTCACAAATTTTCCACACACACAAACAATATATATATATATTAAAAATTTTGTAAGTCTTATGGACACAATTTTGTTCTTTAATAATTTTCCACACACATTGTTCTTTTTTTTTTTTTTGATTTTTTGTAATCATAGTAACTCAAAATCAAAATCATGGGTTTTATTCAAGATTATTTTCACTGTTTAAAAAAATTCAATCAATTCGAGGATACACAATAAACGGAACAAATGAAAGAAAAAGATTATCATACCTGCTTCTATTGCTGCCACTGCTTCCTGTGCTTCCACTATTAAAGCAACGAAGAAGAAATTTGGGCCTGGCATTAAATCAAGTAGAAATGTTCTACAAATTGACTAGGAATGTTAGGCACGGAAATAAAATTTCAGGAATGTTGGACCCAGCATTAAAATTGAGCTATACGAAATGGAAGAATGTTTTCTTTGGGTTTGTCTTGATTTTCTTGAATTGTAGTTTTCTCCAATCCTTTTTTTCTAAAAACTAGGGTTTTTGATAGAGAACCTGCTACTAGTTTAGGCAATTCTTCAAACTCAAACAATGACATTGAATTTGGTTACCATAAGAGAAATCCAGCTTCCAAAAATGAAAACAATGCTACAGTAAACAAATTTATTTTAGTTAAGCATAAGCAGAAGTACTACTTGCACAACTAAACAATAAAAATATAATAGATTGCAGGGAATACAATACAAAAAAGAACATCTCTTACAACAATAATAAAAATAGGGTAAAATATATATTAAGATAGAACATGAACACAACTACCTCAAAAATCTGGTGCTGGAAAGAGATGATTCAGTGGGGGATACGATCTTCCTTCACTGAATTTCAAACCATACAAAACTTCTTTCATCGCCTTTGAAATGTAATTGCCTATAAAGGTAGACATGTATGCAAAAATTACCATTTTATAAGAAACATGTAAAATGGAGTTTTTGCACAAGTACTATTGAAAGCTTGTAAACAACACATAGCTTTACAAACTCTCCCAAAAAAAGAACTTATCATATATATATATTTTTTAAAAACCCATATATGTTCAATTTTTGTCAAAAATTAACTAGTCCAAAAAGCTTAAAATCATGAAACATACCTGTTAAGCTTTGTAGGGACTGCTCAATCTCCCAACAAGCCATTACTACTTCCATTGCGTGTACACAAACATGTTGTTGCAGCTGTTCTTTAAAAGAATAGAGCAATAGCACATAATGTGCCTACATTATAAAGAGAGATTAGAATTAAGACCACACTGTAAATTATCATTTTCTTTTGAACATAGGATATGTTCATCTATCAAAATATATCTCAAAGTTGGCGGAATTGCTTCATGTCCATCAAGAACTCATCAAAACTAAGGCATGGAAGGATAATAATAAATAAAAACCAAAACACAATCAACCCAGCCACTTCCGACACCTAATCTCAAATACAAGCTCTAATGTTATGGAAGTTAAAAATAAAACTGCTCATTGAGAATTCCTTCAAAGGTGGCTTTGCCTTCACCCAAAAAGCCACATAATTTTTTTATTTTTTTTATTTTTTCTGAAATCTGATCCCACTTGCTTATCCCACCATTGAAAACCATTTCATTTCTAAATTTCCACAGCACCCAAAAGATTGTTGGGATAGATAACCAGAATGCTCTGACTACTAAGTTGATGAACACTTGATACAATAAAACAACATAAAAACACATAAATGTCTCACAAATTCAGCAATTAGGCACAATGTTGATCAAAAACCCACTTCATAAAAGCTAATTAAGAGTAATCAACATTTCAACACAAACTTGTATAAGTAAATAAACAGAGAGGGAGAAAGAGAAAGAGAGATTTGGGGAAAAACCTTAATTAATGGGAAGCAGGAATTTTGATTCATGAACTTGATGAACTTGATGAATTTGGTGAATTTGATGAATTTGATGAATTAATGGGAAGCCTAATCCCATTTCCATGAACTTGATGAATTTGGGTTAGGATCAGATTGCCCAAATAAACACCAAAAAGACAATCATTGCAAGAGAAATTCAAGCCTCAACTCAAACTCAGACTACAGCAAAAGAGCTTTTCACCATTCTCAACACTCTCTAAGCATATTAGCAGGTCCAATTTTGAGCCAAATTTAGTACAAGGTTTAGCAAAACTAAAATTTGTCAAGGCTTTTAGCTAGCCATTGATTCTTCAAGTAATCCAAAAGCCTAGTGACGAAAAAGAAAATGTAGGAACTAAACAGATATATGAAATTGATAGTTTAGAGATGAAATAGAACAAATGGTGATAGTTTAAGTGATAAAAGGTGAAATTAATTCTAAAAGAAACAAACTTATCTCAGTGAGGGTTTGACAAAGTTTCACAAGCAGCTTAATCTGCCTTCGTCCAACCAACAACTCTTGACTGTGGTGGTTTCGAAACCCTAGCTTCATAGAGAGAGAGAGAGAGAGAGTAAATGAACGAGAAGCAACGACAGTTTCCCAAAACAAGAAAGAGAAACAGTAGCAAAGAGTTGAAATCATTTGGTGAATCGCTTTTTCGATGAGACGATTCAGAGGAAAGAGATGAGGAAGTAGTGTACCAAGTAAATACCCTTCTTCGATGAGACGATTGAGAGAGACTGAGACTGAGCTCTTTCAAATTTGCTCCATTAGAACCCTCTCTCTTAGTTTTGCCCAGGTATCTTCTTCAAACCCTCTCTCTTTCCCACATCTTCCCAGTTTCTATGTACCTTTACGATAAAAGCCAAATAGTTGTGTATAATATATTTTTGGGTTTGGGGTTTGGCGCCAGATTATTTCATTTTACCGCCTATTCTTATTTCGATCATATTAGTCACGACAATCACAAAAAATATACAATCACATTAATTAATAGGGTGAATAAAAAATATACATATAATTACATTTAATTTAAAAGTGACATAAAAAATAAATATTATTATACTTAATTAAATTAAGGTTGATTAAAATATCAATTTAATTTTTTTTTATCACACTTTCAATAAAAGTGATATATTTTTATTTGTCAAAGTATGATTGTTAACTATTTTTGTAGTAGTGATATAATTTAGTAGGATACTGTTTCTTATAGTTATGTTTCTAGTAGGATACTCTTTCTCAACCTATATATACAGGCTTTCTATTGTATAGGATTAATTCATTCACTATAATACATATTATTTCCTCTCTCTCTCTCTACTATTCTAGCATGATATCAAAGCTATAGGTTAAGCTCTTGGTGTTCTTCGCCTTCTAACGGGCGACAACCTTACCTTGGCCGCCTGCCGGACCTCAAACCCTTTTGCTGCTATATTTTCCTTTTGGGCAAATTACATATACACCCCTCCAGGTTTGACAAAATTACAGATACCCCCCTGAGGTTTGAGAAATTACGAATTCCCCCCTGAATGCTATATTTGCATAAGAAATTAGGGGGTAATTTGTTATGAAATATAAACCTCAGGGGGTAAATTGTTATGAAAATACAAACCTCAGGGGGCGGGATGTAATTTCCGAAACCTCAGGGAGGTATCTGTAATTTAACCAAACCTGGAGGGGTGTATATGTAATTTGCCCAAAAATATATAAATAATCACACTTTTAATTAGAATGTGTGATTAAAATATATATATATAATCACACTTGTTTAAAAAGTGTGATTAAAAAGTAGTAGTATATATATAATGACACTTTAATTAGAATGTGGGATTAAAAAATATATAAATAATCACTCTTTTAATTAGAATGTGTGATTAAAAAATATATATATAATCACATTTGTTTAAAAAGTGTGATTAAAAAGTAGTAGTGTATATATAATCACACTTTAATTAGGCGCGTACTTGCGAGAATCCAAAGCCGCGGCCGTCGTCCTCCAAGACGGAACCGGAGTGCTCGATCTGGATCCCGGAGGCTTACCCACCAAAATGGCCCGCTTGAATTGGTAATTCTGCAACACAGAGGACGAAGACGAAGACGAAGAGCAACCCCTCTTTCGGATCTTGCAGGATTCGGGAATCAAACCCTCCACAAGCCGATTCTGCCTTGGCATTATCAATTTCAATTTATCACACTCTCTCTCTCTCTCTCTCTCTGATCTATGAAGAAGAAGAAGAATGGATTTGCATTTGAAAATTCAAACCCTAGAAATTTATGATATGGGTTTTGAAAGTGTATGTATATGCTTTTTCATAGCTCGAGCTGGTGGATGGAGTGGGTTGGGGTAATCAGTAGTAGGAGAGTGATGCAAACAAAAGGAAATGAGAGAGAGAGAGAGAGCATGTGAAGGTGAATGCGTGGTACAAATGGTTTTTGTTTTAAAAATGGCGACCAAATGTTTTTGTCTCCAAAAATTTTCAATTCCCGCCTCTATATATAAAAATCAAATTTCCCCTCAAACTTTCTGCAACCAAAAGATTAAATTAGCCGCAAAAACAGGTTCTTTCACCGACAAAAATTTTTAGTCGCCAAATCTCAATCAACGGCGACTAAAATATTAGTCGCGAAAAGTACTAATCCACTTTTAAATTCGACAATAAGCCAAGTTCATCCTTCTCTCCCTCTTTTTCTCAAGAATTATTTGTGCAATTGATTTTTGTAAAATTTTTACAATTTTACAATTTCATTTTTAATCACAAATTACCATAAATCTACCAAAAGATTACATAATATTTACTATAAAAATGTGTAATATACACTATAAAAATATGTAACATAGTGCATATGGTATACACCCCATAGCATGACCTGTTTAAAAATTCATCAATTTTATTGAATGGAATGTCCATTGAAATTTAATTTGGGCAACAAAATTTAGAAACTAAACATTGAAATATAAATTTAATGAATTAAAATTCTTAATCTTATACTATAACTCACTCAATCAAGCACAATCTAAATGAACTCAAAATACCCAAAAGTTAACACAAGGCTTAGGTCTCGTTTGACAAGTCAAGATTTTAGCCAAAAAAATTAATATATTCTTTTTATTTTTTTTACACGTCTTTTCATTAGAAAAAAAAATTACTAAAAAATTAATTTCCAAACTCGTCGTTAAATTTAGCTGCGGCACCAACTTAGTTCGTAGGTGATTTTGAAAGATTCAAAGGCAACATAGTATTGAAGGATTGCTTTAAGAATAAGAGTCGGAAAGTAATACCTATACATCATTTTATATAAAATTTAAGATAAAAATAATATGGTGATGACATTTTCTTAACATTATTGTAACAATTAATGAAACTTTGCTCAAAGATGACATTAATTAATGGGGCGGCGAGGTGAAACCATCCTATTTCGTGCTAAGGCTTTTTTCCCCTAACCAGGAAGGTGTAATAAAATCTACAGTAATAAATATAAGTGGAATGTATTTTCTCGCTGAATCTAGTAATGAAAAAATTGATAAAAAAATTATCAGTTATATTTAGCAATGATATGCATAGTTGAAGAGCAAACCCAAGGCTTGAGTGTTTGTAATGGAATCTTTGTGAATCTGCACTGAACCAGCAGAAACGTCCAAGTCAAGCTCTTGACTAAGGGTTGAAATTTCTAGCAACTCGTTGGGATTTTTTGGTGGACTGTCCATTGTGGCTGCTTCTTTTCAGTTATGTAAAATGTTCAGGAAGAACACGTAAAGCATCTGTATTGAAGGAAGGTGAAAAGATAAAGTAAAAAAAAAGAAGATGAAAGGTCAAAATGGAGGGAAAAATGAGACATTCTATTTTCACACACTTAATTATCTTAGTACACATCTTCTCTTAGTACACACATTTATTAATTTAATTATTAATTAATTTTTTCAATCTACACGCTGAATGTTACAATTATACCATTCACTCATAATCATTGTACGCACACTACTCAACTCTCATTTTCACATACTTGTTGAGTGACCATGCTTCCAGATTTGAAGACTCATTGTAAACTCACGTGAAAACCATTCAAGACCACAGTGTGAAGTGAAGTGAAATGAAGTGAACACAAAGTCCTTCATTGAAATCCTCCATTAAAGACCCTATTGAACATTCATTAAAAACACCATTGAAAATCCTCCAAAATATTGTTGAAGATGGGGCATCTTTCCATTTTGTTATGGCATTTACTATTTTCAGATTTCTGTGCACTCCATTGTCATAAAACCCTTTTCTTTTTCTTTTTCTTTTTTTAAATTTTGTTTTATGTTTTTTGGTTTGGGGATTTCTACATTGGTTTTATGAAATTATATATTTAATTCGAAACTTAAGCCTCATTTGGGAACAGACTATTTTAGTAACTTTTTGACTTTTTGGCTAAAATATGAGGTAAAAAAAACTAGTATGTTTGAGATGACTTTTTGACTTTTTACGAAAAGATGTGAAAAAAGTAGAGAGAAAAAAGGAATCTTTGACTTTTTGGTATAAGTTGTTGGCTTTTTGATTTTTTTAGTAACTTTTTGACTTTTAAGCTAAAACAACCACTTGCCAAACGAGGCCTTAACTTCCGAATAAAAGTGATTAGTTCGAAAAATTTGTTTCCAAAAATACAAATAAAA